TTCTCCCTTAAAGTCTGGACTTTGAGAAAATTCAAACTAAGCATTTTCCAAGGTGTGTATATATTTTTCTCAAACTGTATTCTTTCTGTTGTTGTTTTTAAGATTTTATTTATTTTTTGAGAGAGAGCCAGAGAGAGACCATGGGTGGGGTGTCTAAGGAGAGGGAGAAGCAGACTCCCCACTGAGCATGGTGCCCAACTTCTGGGCTCAAACCCAGGACTCTGGGATCAGGACTCGAGCCAAAGACTTAACTGACTGAGCCACCCAGGCACCCCAAATGATTCCAAGTTGTATAGGAGTGTTGGAAAGGATTATTTACTAAGCTACTCCAACAGATGTGAGGTCCTATCATCAAGTTAAAAGCTATGAGAAATCTAAGCCTTTTGGAATTTATCCTGTTGAAGGTTCTCAAACTTTTTTTTGGCTGTGGAACCCTTTTATATCGTCTTTAAACATTCCAGTGAACCTCTTATCCAAACTCTCTTTGGGATCCACTTCTGTATTGTATGGGATACTTCTCATTGCAAATGTCAGACTACTGTATGCACAAAAGATTTTTGGAAAGGGTATTTTAAAGTCTGGTGTAATGAGAACTTCAGGGATACAATTAGGTTGACTGAAACATAGCTGGGTCTAGAACGTGGTTTCTCTTAATCTCTTAGCTCCGTTTGCTTTCAGTAAGTGCTTCTTTGGAAAACTTTTGGCTATGGGAACAGAACTGGCCATCGGCATCCCCAGGTTTTCATTTTGCCTGCCTAGCAACTCAGGGGAAGGAGATAGGCTCCCTCACTAGTTACAACCAAAGAGACCCATTCCAGTTGGCCTGGCCTGGGACCTGTGTTCACTGCAGGGCTAGGCACCCTGGCCAGGACACTGAGACTCATGAGCCCCACCTGGTCATATGCCTATCCCCAGAGCCACGTGAAGCCTGAGGACTCGGGATCACCCCTAAAACAACCAATTTATGATACCAGATTTGGATACCGGGTGGCAAAACCAGCAGACGGCCGTGGTACCTTTCTCAAGCCTGCAGGGCCTGAGTGTTCTGCTGAGTGAAGAGCCTATGTGTAGGTTGGAGCAGGTAGAGATGGGGATCAGAGAATGCTGTTTTCTTATTCATTGCTTATATGTGTCACGAACCCTTCTTCTATAGAACAGTGCTGTCAGTACAGGAGCCTGGAATGATGATAGCTTTTAACCCTGAAGCTTAGAAAACATCAAAGGCTACTCTCAGCACATAATTATTTCAGTTTGAGTTTCAAGGTTTGACCCACAGTCTCAGTTTGCAGCTTGAACTCAGGATTGGGGAAATATCTGTCCCAGCTCGGGACCAAGGCAGCAGCTGAGCTCTGCTTAGGATTAGAGTGGGTTCAAGGGCATGGGCAGAGCTTAACTAAAGGGAACTCAGGTTGCAGGGTTTACAAAGAGATGAAAACATGTTTAAAAAAAAAAAAGTTGTGAAACAGAAACAGTGACTTTCACACATCTGTGGGCTAGAACTATTTGGGGCGGAGTCACACCTGACCAGGTAGGGGATGAGAGCACTGAACAGGCATATAAAGGTCTCTCTTTGAAAAACAGAGAATAAGGTTTCAAAGAACTTCCTGGAATCAGCTCTGCTACCATCAAACCATCACAAAAGGGACACCAACCATGAGTAGGACATGGGGGATGGAAGGGCCAAAGCAATTGTCTAAAATGAGATCACATACTTAAATTAAGGCCGGCACTCTTCAGAATCAAGAGTTTTGGATCTTGCCATGTACTCCGTTGGCTACTGGGAATAAAACAGGGCACCTGACATGGCCTGGACAACAGGTCACTCAGCATTTAGGACTTCAGAGCCCACATGACTTAAAAGAGCCTACTGATTTCAGGACAAGCCCAGGGAACCAGCTGGCCTACTGGCCACTTAGCTTCTGTGGGCCTAAGGGGAAGTTGTTTCCAGCTACAAGGATCCAGAGCTGCCTGTGAGCTCCTGTCCCAGATTTGGAACGTCTACCTGCTGTCCTGGTATATGGAATGGGATAGGATGGAGATGCTGAAGGGTAGCAAGACACAGTGCTGTAAAAGAGGGGCATGGGCTGTCATGGACAAGATCAGAGCAGAGGGCAAAATCTGGAACTCCGGCTGTGCTCCCTGATGTGTGAATGCTCAAGGGGTCAGGCTTTTAGTTTCTCTATTGGTGGATCAGTTAAATTATGCTGCATTCCACCGTTCTAGGACATCATCTCTAATACCAGCATGTCCCTGGTCAAGGACGGTGCTCACAGTGGGAAATGGAAGTAGGAACAAGTAACTTTGGGGACCTACAGCCCTACCTCCAGGAAAAACAGTGACACAGCTGAGAAGCACCGGTGGCTTACTGTATACAGAAGACATTTTAATACACCAAGGCACATTTACATTCTAGCGACAGAAGCACATGTTTCCCACTCAGTGGCTCCCTGTTCACAACAGCGCAGATCAATGAAGTTTGGATTTTGAACCTCAGCATTTAACATCAGTCAGACACACTGAGCTTGTAAGAAAGAGCAATCGCAGGAGGACAGTGGGAAATGATGTTGTGTAGACAAGGCAGGCACGACTGGCTACTGAAACATAAACGATGTGTTGCATGCCTTTGCCTTTTCGTCTGGCTGGCGAACAAAAGGTTTAGCATGACTGTACCGTGGAAAGCAGCAAGACTGCTTCCTGCCAGCTCTATCAGCATTCTTTCTCCCGAGCTATGTACTTGCCCATCCAATCTAGAGAAGCTATGATGATCTACAGCCCACTAGTTTCCGGTTCAAACTTTCCCATCACAAGAAGCTTCACTACGAATTAATGACCATAATTCACTTAGCAGGGCTTTGTGCGGCTGGACACTTATTGCTGCCCTAGCAATGATCCCAGCCAGAACCAGGGCTGTCCTTGAGATGTGTCAGCCATTAGCAGAGTATTTACTTCCATGGAGTTCGGGGCATGGGCAGGGTGGCAGGACTGGCATGCCCTCTCACCCCCCAGCCACTGGGAGGGGGATCACAACGCCAGGGGCCGGGTGACCCAGCTGCAGTGTAAGAGTTGTTATAACCTGGATATTTCTGGACTTGCTTAGACTTTTCTAGACTTTTCAGGGGCTCTTAGAAGGGAGAAAGCAGTTAGAAGGAGATGGGAGAATACCAGGCAAAGGGCGGCAATACTCAGCCTGTTTTCTAAAATTCTGAGCCCCAAGCCTTACTTGTCACACATCTCATTGCTGAGACATGTTCCGGCTGGTTTGGGTAATAACTTTGGGCCCAAGTTAAGGAATAATACCAAAGAAGCTAATACCAACGTCTAGCAATCATGGTACAGATTTAGGCCTCCTCCTGGTTTCTGGAAACCTTTTTGTCCTAATGTTGAAGATGAGCGGTGGTGGGAGATGCTTACAGTCAGCTGTTGGGCGCTTTCGATATGGTTCTTTCTCATTCTAACTGGAAACACATTGTGGGTCTGTAACCTGATTGGGACTGAGAATCCATCTTACCGCTCTGAGGCTGTGCTGTCTGGTTGGTGTGTCCACAGTTCCTGAATGTCCACAGAGGTGCCTTGGGCACAGCAGGAACTCACTGGACATAAAAACTAGGGGCTCACACTACATAGATGTTATGGGGTTCCTGTACTGTTACACATTGTACAGATGTGAAATGGCACAGATGGCCGGCCCCCTTCCCCATGCAGAGCCCCCTGATCCCATGGTCCCGTGGCAAGTGTTTCCTGAAGTCTTTCCTCGATGATACATACAAGGTCACAGCAAGAGGAGGGACCAGGTGACTGGAGAGACACGTCCACAGCACATCAGGACTTGAGGCAAAACACATGGAAGATGCAAGATGGTAAACGACGCCAGTGGCCCCTGACACTCCTGGAGTAACCAGCCTGGAACAGAACCCGGTCACCTTCCCCTTGCTCTTTCCATACATAATCAGAAATGGAGTTGGAGCCAGTGCGTATTTTGTAGCTTTCGGAGAAAAGCAAAATAGCACGGGAAAAATAATATGTGGGAAATGTAGGAAAAAAAAGTCAAACAGAAGGAAAGAGCTGTTTTTAATTCTTAACAAAATTGTGGTTGCTCTTAAAGTAGAGACACTATTCACAGTTCTGCCAGAAATTCTGGGCCTGTTAACTCAGTGAGGAGGAAATCCTGGAGGCCAAGTTAAAATCCAGCATTGGCTTCCTACCCATGTTTAATTGCCCGAGTGCTGCTTCCCTCCTTGGATGTCTGGTGTGGCAGGTGTGGGATCTGTTACTTCTGCCTGGTTTCTCGGTCTGCCTGCTTTCTGCCATGTTGGCAAGGCCCTGACTGTCTGTAAGGACGAGGTTTAGGTGGCCTGACTACATCTCCTAGTTCTCTTATTCCAGTCTATAAAGGCATGTATAATCGGAAACACATTTTGGTTCATCTGATACTGGCCAAAAATGAGCCCAGAAATAAAAGACAAAATCAAAATAACCCCCCACATGGTGATTTGCTTCATTACTGGAAGGTGGCTCACTGCACTGGGCTTCGCTGAGAAAAGATTCCCACCATGGTGTGGGTACTTTAAAGGGGTTTCCAAGCGTAAATTTTCCTATCTTCCAAATTCCCCTCCCATTCTACTCAGACTATAACCCCTGTACAGGTAAGGGAGAGCTTGATTACTAAAAGGTGGACATGGTCTCAGTGTGACGGTAAGATTCTCTGATCTCTCCAGACAGGATCTCTGATAAGAGGACAATTTACTCTCAAAGCTAGGAGGTGAGTGATATGCTGACAACGGCTTTACAACTGGCTTATGGGGGCTGGGGGGGTGTGTGGGGGGCCCTGATTTGAAGCATTTGCCCATTTCTGTGGTGTAAATATCACCAATGTTTACCAGTCATGACCAGTTTCAGCTGCCCAGCTTCACATCTCTGTCCAGGGCGATGGGAAGGATGTGCTCACTGGGCTCTTGCTGGCTGACTGGAGCTGACAGGGTATGCTAATTCTAGAATGCCTCTGGAAGGCCTCAGAAATCTGTTACTTCTAATCCGCTCCCATTCATTGCTTCTTGATTGAATTCCTTCTCTCTCCTCCGTCAGATGGGGGCTCTCTGACCCCTCTAAGAAATTTTCTAGCTCTGAAGAGCCTCACACAGCCACCAGCCACCCATCAGTGTCCATTTGCCCATTTGTCACAGTGTAGTTAGAATGAGTGGAAAAATAAATCTACATCTCAATATTCCTTTTAAAATAAAGATAAAGGCTGTGTGGAAAAACAGAATGGTAACAGTAGAAAGGGAGAACAGAGCTCCTCTTGTATAACCCTCTCATTTAGGTGAATGACCCAAAGCAAAGACCATAGAGGAAGTGACTTGCTCAAGGCAACATAGTTAATTCGTGGTGAAACGAGGTCCCAGGAGACCCAGAACTCTCTGTCTCTGTCATGCTGCCTCCTCCCAAAGGCGTTTGTACACATTTCCTAAGGTGTGTGAGGTGTGGAGAGGTGAGAACTACTGTCAGCAATTCCTGGCCTGAGGTGGCAGGAAAGGTCCCAAGCAGAAGAGGCGGAGGACTTCATTTCTTATTCTGACCATTCTCCTCTTGGGGGTCTTTGGTTTGTTCCAAGGCTAGATTAGCCGGTCTTCTATTAAAGTCCCTGTTTACTCTTAAAAGAGAAAAGAAAAAAGAAAAACAACCAGGACTTATCATTGAAAAGAAAAAGAAGTGATTTAAGCTTTGAAATGACAGAATTAGGCCCCACAATTTATAAAGCAGCATGACACAAGGAAACCTTCTTAAACGTGTCACCAATTTTACGTGTTTTGGTCCCATTCCTGTGTCCTTCCCTGTCCTATCCCTAAGTTAGATAGCTAACTTACCTATTGCGGTTTTTGAAATCTCATACAGGGGGGAAAAGGCTTCTGAATTTTCCAATCTTTCTATTATGGATATGTATCATTTTTGATGTGAGAAAAAGTTAGAAAATGTTAAAAAAAAAATCAGCTAAGGCTCTACAGGTAATCTGGCTGAAGCATCCATCATCCTCTGGGCTGCTGTTGAACCAAGGCTTACTTACTTTTCTCTGTTGAAAATGATGAACTCTTTCTGGACAGACTCCAGATGCTCTTGAAGAAGGCACGTCTTCTGGGGGAGCAGGTGGGAGTGGGGGAGAGAGAAAGAGATGCAGTTAGCGGACCAGGGGGAGCCTCAAACAGCCAGGAAACCCCTGTCTGTTCACTGGCTCAAATCTCAGAAGCACCAGGGTATCTTCCAAAAGGACACTATCTGAAAATGTGTGGCAGGAGACCCCAATCAGAGTAATAGGGATGCAAATAAGGAAGAAACCACCAGAGGATAAAACATGGCAACTCTGTTCCCCACAGCAAGGAAGATGTGGGTTATGGCTTATTAGCTTGATGTCTCTCAGCCTCTCAGCCCATGAAGAAACAATGGCTTCGAGGTGGGTGGGGATGAGGGTTTACTGAGCTGGTTGCTTACTCGCCAGTCATCTCCTGGCCCTCCTATAAAAGGTTTGGAGGTTCTACTTAGATTTAATGAACAGTCTGGAAACACAGTTCTGGGTGAATGTTCCCTTCAACAACTGTGCTGGGGTTGATTAATTGTACCTCAGGCACAGTGAGCAAAATCTTTATTTGTGACTTTTTCTCAGATAGGCAAAACATTTGCTTTGACAGTATTATCCAGCTTTTAACATCTTTTGAAGACTTTTCCATCCTAATGAGGAAATTTACCCTCAAAATGGTGATAATCATCAAGCCCAGGACAGAGTCCCACCCAGATCAAATGTTTTACAAGCCTACAATAAAATACTTCAAAATGACTTCCGAAGAAAAAAAATATTCCCCAATGAAAAGATATTTATTCATTCATTTTTTTTTTAATCTAAGAATTAAGAAATAGTAAGTCTTCAAGTATTGAAGAATTTTCTTTCCTGAGTGAATGTTTAGGTGATAGAAGAGGCAAATGAAAAGGAGAAGACATTTCAGAGGAGCGGGGAGGGGACCAAGACAAAGGGGAGAAAGGAGACTCTGCTATACTTACTCTTGTTCTCAAAATGGGGTATTTGTAACCCTGAGGGTTTCTAGTGTCAGTCATGGGGGACATGAAACTATGGGGTAAATACAATCTGATAGAGCTTCTCAACAGCAGTTTTACCCCAAGATTTTTATTTAAAAATTTATATTTATATAAATAAATATATGTAGCTTATACATAGTGTCCCAAGAAACATCTTTATAAGAAGTGTTGTTTTTCCCCTGGTTTTATTGAGATACAATCGGTGCCCAGCCCTGTATAAGTTTAAGGTGTACGGCATAATGACTTGATTTTCATATATTGTGAATTACAAATTCAGTTAACATCTACTGTCCTGTTGGTTGACAAAGAAAAAAGAAAAAATGGTTTCTCCATTTGATGAGGACTCTTAAGGTTTACAGTATTCATACCTTCCTCTAGATCATAACCCAGTGTGAGGTGCAGCTGTCATGTTGTACGTCACACGCCTGGAGTTTGCTTATCTTGTAACTGAAAGTTTGTACCTTCTGACTTCCTTCACCCAATTACCCAAACCCCGTCCCCTGTGTCTGCTTCCCAAAATGTGATCTTTCCTATGAGTTGGTTGGTTGGGTTGATTCCACATACAACTGAGATTGCACAGTATTTGTCATTCTATCTGACTTATTTCCTTCAGCATGACACCCTCCAGGTCCATCCATGTTGTTGCAAATGGCAAGATTTCCTTCTCTTTAAAGAATGAATTGAGGGGTGCCTGGGTGGCTCAGTGGGTTAAAGCCTCTGCCTTCAGCTCAGGTCATGATCGAAGGGTCCTGGGATCGAGCCCCGCATCGGGCTCTCTACTCAGCAGGGAGTCTGCTTCTCCCTCTCTCTCTGCCTGCCTCTCTGCCTACTTGTAATCTCTGTCAAATAAATAAATAAAATCTTAAAAAAAAAAAAAGAATGAATTGATACTCATGTGTGTGTATGTGTGTGCGTGAGCATACCACACCTTTATTCAACCACCCATCCATATCTCCATGTCTCGGCTATTGTAAATAATGCCACAGTGAACACAGGAGTGCAGGTATGTCTTCAACACAGTATTCATGTTTCCTTCCAATATAGCCCCAGAAGTGGTATTTCTGGGTCATAGGGTAGTTCTGGTTTTAATTTTTGAGAGAAGTTCCATACTGTTTTCCATAGTGGCTGCACCAATTTACAGTTCCACCAACAGCGTTTAAGGGTTCCCTTTTCTCCACATCCTGGACAAAACTTGGTATTTCTTGTCTTTTTGATGATGGCTATTCTATCAGGTATGTGTGGTTTCGATGTGCATTTCCCTGATGTTTAGTAATGTTGAGCACCTTTTTGGGTACCTGTAGGCCTTCATATATCTTCTTTGGAAAAATGTCTATTCACGTCCTTTTCCCTTTTTTCAATTGGATTATTTGGTGTTTTTGCTTGTTTGTTTTTTTGGTTTGTTTGTTTGTTGCTTTTGAGTTCTATGAGTTTTATATGTTTTTGGATAATAACACCTTATGAAATATATGATTTGCAGATATTTTTCCCATTTAATAAGTTGTCTTTTTACTGGTGAATTCCTACTTGTTTATTTTGTCCTGGTGCTTTAGGTATTATATCCAAAAAAATCATTGCCAAGGCCATTGTCAAGGGGCTTTGTTCCTACCATTTCTTCTAGGAGTTTTACGGTTTCTGGTGTTATATTTAACTCTTTAATCCATTTTGAATTAATTTTAGGGAGTTAATTTTTGCAAGATATAAGGGTCTGTTTTCATTTTTTTTACAGGGGAATGTCCAATTTTCCCAGCACCATTTATTGAAGAGACTGTCTTTTCTCCATTGAGTATTCTTGGCTCCCATGTCAAATGTTAGTTGATGGTATTTGTATGGGTTTATTTCTGGGCCCTTGATTCTATTCCATTGGTCTATGTGTCTGTTTCTCTCCAAGTACCATACTGTTTTAATTAGTATAACTTTGTAGTATAGCTTGAAAGAAGGACATATGATACTTTCTGCTTTGTTCTTCTTTCCCAAGGTTGCTTTGCCTATTTGGGGGTTTTTGGTGGTGCCATATAGATACTATGATTTTTTTGTTCTACTTCTGTAAAAAATCCCATCAGAATTTTAATAGGGAATGCATTGAATCTATAGATGGCTTCAGGTAGCACAGACATTTTAATAATATTAATTTTTCCATTCATGAATACAGGATTCCTTTTTACTTATATGTGTTGTCTTTAATTTCTTTCATCAATGTCTTGTTGTCTTTTTATTAATGCAGTACTACTTGTTTATTTTATTCCTGGTGCTTTAGGTATTATATCTAAAAAATCATTTATAATATAGATATTATATCATAGGATATAATTTAGGTATTATATCCAAAAAATCAAATTTCTTGTGGTTTTCAGTACAGATATTTTTCACCTCCTTGGTTGAATTCATTCCTAAGTATTTTACTGTTTTTTTGATGCTCTTGTAAATGGTATTGATTTTTTTCCAGATAATTCGTTGTCAGTATATAGAAATGCTACTATATGGTAATTTGGTACCATGCAATTTCACTGAATTCATTGATTAGATCTGAGAGTTTCTTAGTGAAGTTTTTATGATTTTCTATATATAACGTCATATCATCTTCAAATAGGCAATTTTACTTCTTCCTTTCCAATTTTGATGTCTTTTATGTCTTTTTGTTGCCTGATTGCTCTGGTTGGACTTCAGAGCTTTGTTGAATAGGAGTGATGAGAGTGGGGACCCATGTCTTGTTCCCGATCTTAGAAGAAAAGCTTTTAGTATTTCATCACTGAGTATGATGTTAGCTGTGGACTCATTATATATAGCCTTTGTTAAGGTATGTTCCTTCTATACTTAATTTGTTAGGAGTTTTTAATCATGAATAGGTGTTGAATTTTGTCAGATGCCTTTTCTGTGTCTCTTGAGATGATATGATTTTCTCTCTCAATTCTATCAATGTGATGTATCACACTTATTGACTTGCATATGTTGAACCATCTATGCATCCCAGGGATATATCCCACTTGAGTAAATGTTCCTTTTAATGTATTGCTGAATTTGGTTTGCTAGTATTTTATTGAGAATTTTTGCATCTGTATTCATCAGGGATGTTGGCCTGATGATTCCTTTTCTTTTCATGTCTTTTTCTGGCTTTGGAATCAGGATAATGCTAACCTCATAAAATGAGTTTGGGGATTTCCCCTCCTCTTTGATTTTTTTGGAAGAGTTTGAGAAGGATTAATGTTTATTCTTTTTAAAAGTTTGGTAAAATCGCTTCTCGGCCTTTTGGCTAAGATCAAGTGTAAAATTTCAGTAAAATTCACCAGTGAATCTGTTCTGGGCTTTTTTTTTGCTGGGAGATTTTTGATTACTGACTCAAATTCCTTACTAGTAATTGTTCTCTTTAGATCTTTAATTTCTTCCTGATTCAGAATTGATAGGTTGTATGTTACTAAGAATTTTTCTTAGTAAAAAAAGCCCATTTTTTTCTAGGTTGTCCTCTTTGTTGTGTATATAGTTGTTCATAGTGATTTCTTTTTCTCCTTAGCATTTCTGTGCTCTTAGGGAGAGGCATTGTAATGTTTTCTCTTTCATTTATATTTTATTGCTTTGGGTCCTCTCTTTTTACCTTGGTTAATTGAGCTGAAAGTTGGGGTTTCTTTTTTCTTTGAGAATAGTTCGCCGTGGTTTTTTTTTAAATTTAAAGTATTACAAAAAACATAAATACAGAAACATATATATTATGCAATATTTTTACATATACAATATTTCATATATGTTTATATATGTATATATTTTTATGCATAATATATATCATATATATCATTGCATTAAAATATATGTAAATTTGTGTAATATGTTTATGTTTGTTTATATGTTTATATAGAATATATATAAACAAAACATTTACATAAACATATATAAAAATTTATATACATATATGGACATATAAAATGTTCCTTAAAATATAACATAAAAGATACATTTAAAAATATATATATATTTTTTAAAGATTTTATTTATTTATTTGACAGAGATCACAAGTAGATGGAGAGGCAGGCAGAGAGAGAGAGAGAGGGAAGCAGGCT